TATTGCTCCCCATATGTGAAGTAGGTTGACTGCAGGCACAGTTTCAAAAGTTGACACAGTTGTCACGAGGACCACGCTTTCCACAGAACAACTGTTTGGAGTCGCCATTGAGACGTACCAGCAGAACTATGAAGGCAGAGAGAAAATCAAGCAGAGTCGGCCTGTCCCAAAACAAATGTTTGTTATCTGAATCTAGCTCCCCTGCTTGGCCTCGAGTGTGTCAACTGTCTCAAATGTCTCCTGGAGGTTATGTGAACAAGAAGCTCTGCTCCCTCCCAGCCCCCACTCCCTTCCCAAGGACATCTGTAGATCTGTATCAGAGCTGAGCCGGCTGAAGGACACTGCACCATCGCTTTTTTCATTCATTCAACCTTTATTTAGACAGATAAGTCACATAGAGCCTCAAAGACTCGTTTACAAGCGAGACGGTTTAGACAGACAAAAAGTGGTGAAACTGGACACATGTAGGAATTGGGAGGTGAAAAAATTCCTATCAGACTTTTCTTGGCTGAGAAGAAAAACTCTAATATTAAAAAACACCTCACACAAACAGCACATGGTGACATAGACATTCTGCAGAGGGGGAGACGAGGAAAGCGGTGAGATGTCCAAGGACGCTCTCGAGGGCACTGTAAGAGTTCTGATAAGGATGGAATAATCAGCCAGTTCCCTCCAGTGAGATCCATAAACATTCTTGAGGGATGTCGAGGAATGGACAAGAACAACACCTATGAGAATCCAGAGTCCTGAAATGATGACACAAAGTCTATTCAGCTGGTTTCATCTGGTTATCAGTTGGAAATTCCTCAGGGAGGGGGTGGTGAGCGTCAGATCACATGTTCTCCAGGTGAATTCAGATAAGATGACCTTCAAGACCAGCCAAGGAGCCAACTTTAGATAAACACACAGTTGTTTTGGGGACAGGCAGAACGTAATGACATCTACCTTGAGTCTGTGTTGGTCCACTCGGTTCTGAAATGTCCAAATTACGTGGCCACACTGATGGAATGTGACTGAGTAAAATCCCCGAGATCTGATCCATTTAGCCCAAAGCATTTGAGTCTGGGTACTCGAGACACGAACCAAGCCATCATAAAGGCAAGCAGCGTGGTCGGGTCCAAATTTGCTGCCGACGACTTCCTTGATTGTAGATAAAACCAGCACCAGCTGAATCCAAAAAGGAAGAACCAGTCTATCGAAAGTCCAATTAAATATGCGTCCTTAAAATCCACAGATGGCAGCAGAGATAGACACATCATCAAGTCTTCCAGTCAATGAGATATCCAGCTGCGTGCCAACAGGTAAATCAGCTCGCCTAAAGTCTGTCTTCTCTTGAAGAAATGTTGTAGATTGAGATGAGGGACCAACTGATGAAATCAGGTCCATAATTATGGTTCAGAAGATGCAAGAGAGGCTCAGAAGCAGTTTCACAGACAGAGCAGCAAAGCAGAGAGGGAGGGAGAGGAAAAGAGTCCAACCTCGGCAAGAGCAGATGTTTGAAGCCACTTAGAGAGGTCAAAGGTCGAGAGCTTCAGGTCTTTTTACAAGATGTTCCAGGAAACAGGAGCGAAGTAGGAGAAGGTCCTTTTGTCTAGTTCAGTCCTCACTGAGGGAACACTGCAGGTAATGATGTCCTGAGAGCGCACGCTGTGGACATTATTATCAATCTCTCTTCAGGACCATGGAACCTTCTGGCAGCGTCCACGAACAACTCACTGCCTTTGTCGGTCTCCTCATGCATAAATGTACGATGATGTCATCAGCATGTTGCTGTTTATGTGCGAGTTCTTTTTTTGCAGCTTCCACACGGTGCCCCGGTCAGGACATGGTGCGAGATACGATTTATTTTAACCTCCTCTCGTGCTTCTCCTGTCCTGATCTACTTCTGTCTGAATCAGGTCTCTGTTGTAAAGGAGTCCTCGAGGGTCAATGGGAACTAACCAGTATAAATAAAGGTTGAATGAATGGTTTTATGTTTCATAGATTTTGTTAGCAGCAACAGACTCATGTTTATTGTTTTGTTTTGAACAAATATCTAAACAATTGTTTACCGAAATGGATGCAGCGGTCGGTCTGACTGCCGGTTGGACCGACAGCGGACAGGAAGTCAGAGCTGTTCCAGCAGGTTCACGTTTTAATTTGAAACTTTTCATTCAAATTCAAAACTCGTTAAAAGTTCAACTAGCACAAATTTAAAAAAACAAATACTCCTGATGGAAAAAGAACCTTCAGGTGAACCGTGGTCTGGTTAAACCCTGGACTCTGAAGTCCCTGTCAGAGGTCACAGGTGACTCACCTGGCTGTGGTACTTGCCCCGCCCCTTGTAGGTGTTGTCCCTCATGAGACAGGACAGAATGTCCTGCAGCTTTATCTCCGACAGGCTGAAAGGACAGAACCCGGTTTAACACGTTCGATGGTCCAAACCTCAGCAGCTGTCAATCAACCAACCTGATGTTGTGATTGGCCAGTTCTGTGACGAAGGCGGTCTCAGTGGGGGTGAGGAAGAGCAGGCCGTTTCCTCTTCCTCCCATCCGAGCCGTGCGACCCACACGGTGAACGTACTCTGCTGCCGAGGCCGGAGGAGTGTACTGAAAACAGAAGTCAGGAGTGAAATCCTGCTCTCTGATTGGTTCAGTCCATCACATGTCTATGGTCTGAAGCCCTGATTGGAGGAGAACTGAACCTGTACTTGACCATTTAAATAACAGCATGAATGAATGAGTTGTTGGAAGAATTAATGAAAGGATGATTTAATGAATGAATAAACGATTTATTGAATGAATGAGTTAATTAACAAATGATTTAATGAATGGATGAATGAACAGAAAAGGTTCTGTATGGACCTGACAGGAAATGTCTCGGGAGTTTTTACCTGAAGGATCCAGGAGACCTGAGGAAGGTCCAACCCTCTGGCTGCTACATCCTGTAACATCAGACGGGTCAGAACCAGAACCAGGAGAAAATCAGGAGATCAAAGTTTGTTGAACCCTACAAAACCCAAGAACCCCACTGTGTTAGCTCAGTGCCGCCCCCCCGGTGGTCCAACATCAAACTACTGACCGTACACAGCAGAACTCCGGTTTGAGACCCGGAAAACTCCTCGAACACCTCTGAGCGCTCCTGGTGGACGAAACAAACACTCAGAATAAAAACGCCGTAAGGCCCCGTGGCGGTAAACGCTGGTGGCAGCGGGCGACGTGACCTCCTGCTTCATGTTGCCATGGAGACGCAGGAACCGGAGCTCCTGATTGGCCGGGCGCTCGGACAAGACGGCAGCGAAGAGCGAATGGAGGAACTCGACAGCCTCGCAGCTCGAGATGAACACGATGACTTTGTTGTCCAAAAACTGAAACAGAGGCAGCAGCCCGTCCGATCACCACGGCAACACGTCACATGACAGACTGCAAACGCTGTAAACATTTGTTTGTGTTGTTTACCTTGCATTTGTCTAGGATGAAGGCAGCCAGGCAGACCAGGCGCAGTTTACTGGGAACCACCACAACAAACTGCTTCAGAGCCTCCGGTACCACGAAGCTCTCTGATTGGCCGGCTGGAGGAGGGTCAGAGGTCACGACTGCTGGGGCAGCGATGGAGGCGGAGCCAGAAACATGGATGCTGACTGGATCCTTCAGACAAACATCTGCCAGCCGGGTCACACCTGAAACACAAACAAGTTGCTCTTGTTTATTGTACTGTTTTGTGACGACGACAACAACAACAGACCTGGCGCCAGAGTAGCAGACAACTACAACAACAACAACAACAAACCTGGTGCCAGAGTAGCAGACAACAACAACAGACCTGGTGCCAGAGTAGCAGACAACAACAACAACAGACATGGTGCCAGAGCCGCAGACAAC